GTTCATCAGTTGTAACCAATGTACCATGCGAATGCAAGATGTTAGTAATAGGAGAAACATGGAAAAGAGGCAAGAAAAGGGGGCACATGGGAACTTTCTGTACGATCTACTCAATTTTTTCTAAACCTGAAAACTGCCCCCCCAAAAATAAAGTGTGTTAATTTTTGGAAAGACTATGGAGACAGCTTTAAAATTTGGACTATGGACTGTGAATGAAGTAACAGTATTCCACCAACGCTGAGTCTTATCAACACTGATTCTGATAACTGAAAACAACAACAACAACAAAGAGAGAGGCACCCACAGCGGTGTTTCAGAAGGTGAGCTAGAGCAGCGGGGAGCGGGGACGGCTCATCAGCCCCACAGAGGCCAGGTAGACAAGGACAGAAACATGCTTCCCGTGCCTAGTGAAGAGGTGGCTACTGGTGACCTTGCTGGGAAGTTGGAGGGTGGAAGGCAGGTGGGCTGAGCAATGAAAGGATGAAGAACTAAAAAAAAAATCAAATGTAGGAACACATCTCTGGATGCCAGGGGCCAGAGACAAGTTTCAAAACCTTGATGTCCAAGGTGTTAGCACTGACTCTTTCATACATCACTGGTTCTCTCTTTTTGACAATTAGAGACAGCACAGCCCCAGCAAGGCCCAGGATTTTGACCAAGGAAGAGCCAAAGTGGACCGGTTCCTAAAGCTGGACCATGAATCACAGGGGGATAAAGTCAAGCCACGTTTCCCCCGGCCCCGCTCTGATCTGGCCCATTGCCACATATGGAGAAGGGGCCGAGAGGCCACTCTCCTCCCACTGAAAAGAGAAGGTGGTTGTGAGCATCAAAGATCAGATACATGAGTGTTCCAGCATTGTGCCTAGTACACAGCAGGGATTTAAAAAAAAAAAAACATAGTTAGTGGGAGAGAAAGTTAATATTTAACATGGAAAACTCACTAATGCTTTGAGATTTGGTAGTACAGTATTGCGTCCAATCTAAGATGCTGGCTTGTAAGGTGCACCGTTATTTTACATGTCACTAAGAAAGGAAAGAGCTGGGGGTGACCGGTTAGCTCAGTTGGTTAGAGCGTGGAGCTGATTAAACCAAGGTTGTTGGTTTGATACCCGCATGGGCCACTGTGAGCTGCGCCCTCCCTAAAAGAGTCAACTATGCCATTGTAGCATGAAAGCAATGCGTAAACAATGACCATGGCTGTTCTGAAAGAAAGGAAGGAAGGAAGGAAGAAGGAAGGAAGGAAGGAAGGAAGGAAGGAAGGAAGGAAGGAAGGAAGGAAGGAAGGAAGGAAGGAAGGAAGGAAGGAAATGAACCCAACAACCAAGATGGGGCATCTGACTGGAGACCCCACATCAAGCCATAGGCACCAAGGGGCTGCACCTTCAGTGTCAGGGGAGAGCAGGACTAATCCTGCTCCACAGAAAGGAGAGGCAAGGAAGTCGGAGGTCCCATCTTGGCACTGGGTGGAGGGCTGGAAACAGAACTCTTCCCTGAGAGTTTGAACCACGGGCTGGAGCTCCCAGAGGTTGGCTGTCTAAATTCCCACAATCAGTGTCCAAAGGAAAACAAAACAAAACATCCCCCGCAAGCAGAGATTTTAATGTACAGACATCCCAGGTGGATGGTGTCCGGGGTGGTGGAGAGAAGCCAATCCACACCCTCGCCGGAAGTACTCGATTATAATAAGACACCCCAACTCCAAAGGTGCGAAAATGGGAAAAATTATGTCTTAAAACCTATGATACACGGTCAAGTAAATCAAATGCCACTCTTGGCCATTCAGCCTCAGAAGCTACATCCCAGAGGCCACAGGACGCAATGCATGGGACGTTTGCTCCCCACTCCTGCAAACGGGCACACAGGCCTTGCCCTAGATCCCCCAGGCAAGCGGGAACGTTGGCAAGTCTGTCTGTCCGTCAGCTAACGGTTTGTCTCAGGTAGGACGACGGCACCACTTCCCGTGGGCCAGTGCCAGAATTTAGTTGACTCACAGCCCAACTGTAACTTGCAAAGCAATTACTTTTCATGTGTCTGAGCGCTGCAGGCAAACATATCTTGTGGCACTGAGCTGGCAAGTGTGTAGGCAGCTGCAAATTTAATAAATCTTAATTATTCTGTTTATACAAAACAAGCAGGCTGAAGTCCTTGACGTAGTTGGAGCCTTCAGTGACTTGCACGGAGAGAAAAAAAGCACGCAGCACCAACTGCTCATAAATAATTAGCTTTGCGGCAGGTTGGGTTCCCCCCTCCCTTCCCTTTGGAATAAAAATAACATATGAAATGTTTTTCTCAGTTGGCAAGATTACAACTTCTGAAGACAGTACCCATTTTCTACCTGTCAGGCCTGCATGTGCATATGTGCATGTGTGCACACACCCCTGCATACACATGTGCACACCGCAACCAATGAAACACCAGAACCAAACCAAAGGGAGGAAGGACCTCACCCCCCCTCCCCAACTGAAGTGTCACTGCTCTCTGTTCTCAGAAAGAGAAGCCGGGGCAGTGTCCGCAGAAGTCTCCAGGGTCCACATTTACATGGCAATGAAGAACCTACTATGTGCCGATTGTTACCACAAGAACTTGCCCACCATTAGCTCGGTGGACTCTCATTTTATTCGTTGGAAAACCGCCGCTAAGTGACTCGCCAACGATCACACATGCTAATGGTGGATCCTGGATTCAAATACAGAGCGTAAAGCAGCGGTTTCCAAAAGCAAGCAGCGTGAGAATTACCTGGGAACTTGCTAGAAATGCAGCTTCTTGGGCCACCCCAGACCTAACAAATCAAAAACTCTGGGGGAGAAGACACAGAAATCTGTGCTTAAACAGTTACCATATAAGTCAGTCCAATACAGCCTCTGTATATTGGCCTCTAGGTTGCTTCCTCCTTCACAGTAGGCTGAGGCCTGTTAGCAAAAAAAAGCCAGCCAGCCAGCACCAAGCTCAGATTTTCACATATCCAGTCGTTTCAAACATGGCCCAAATAAACAGAATTTTTAGCCATTTAGAGCCTGCCTGCTTTGCATATCCCATGAAACTATGCCCACCATCTGCCAGCCATAGATAACATACACCCTGCAATTATAAAGACCCCAAGTGACTCTGCCCTTCGGAGCTCCCTGACCCAGAGCCTGGCCATTAAGCTCAGCATGGCCAGCCAGACACGTGACCCCCTCTCTCACCAACCCCCCAGTTTGGACACAGGGCCCACCAGGGCAGGGCTTTGCTCCTGTGCTCACTGATGTGACCCAAGTGCCTGAAACGGTGTTTGGCACAAAGTCAGTGCTCAGTAAATATTTGTAGAATGAATGACTGAGGAGAGGGCAAGTGAACACAGAGCTGTGAACATTCTGCATTAACCGGATCATAGGCTGCTGGGAACCTGAGTCAGCGCTGCAGGGCTAGTGTCAGCTGGTCCAGGCTCCCCCTACTGAGTGATGCTTCGTGGGCACTTACTATGTGCTAGGTACCTGGGGACCCAGACATGGCTCCCCATGGATTCTGGCCCAGGAGCTGCACAGATGGGGGCTCCCAGCCAATGAGGAGCTTAATTAAAGTGTGGGAGCTACAGGCAGCCTAGACACCTGGCCCTGGGTCCCCCAGGTCCCACCGGGTGCTACCAGACTAGACTGTGTGGGCCACTCTGCCCTTCCTGGTGCTTCTCCCTATTTCATGAGAAGGCCTTTTGTTCTTTTATATTGGGGTGGAGGGTGGTGGGGGGGAGAACCAGGGCTTTGGGCTCTCTGAAGAACTTCTGCTTCTCTAGACGGAAGTTCACACAATCTTCAAAACTAGTTCATGAAGGAAATAAAGTCAGCATTGATAGCTCCATTTTATAAGTGGGGAAAGTGAGCCCCCAAAGACAAAGCAACTTGTTCCAGACCACGAAGCTGGTTGGCATGGGGCCCGGAGCACAGCATTGGTCTCTTGGCCGTCCCCTTCCCCAATCCAGGGGACACCCACTCTCCTGCATATAACAGACATGAACACCAGCTGGAGACCAAGAAGAAACCCTGGTGTACAAAGCAGCCGAAAAGAGACTCCATGGCACGAGAGACCAGGGGGAGCCCAGGGCGCCTGCAGCAGAGCACACTGGAGGCTTGTGTCGTTACGGGCAATGCCTGGCAGGAAAACAAGTGCGTTCCCTTGGAAAAGGGGCGCAAGGGACAGGAATTTACATTGGGTTTTTCCAGAAGTGGGGCGACCTGCCGGGCCCTGGGCGTGATTTCTCCAATGCATGTGTGAAAGGTTAAGAAGTGGGCTTTGGAGTCAGAGGCCAGAGACCACGCAGGAGCCTTCACAGAACAAATCGTTCCAACTTGCTACTTCTTGGTTTCCTCCTTCTTAAAATGGGGGTGATAATGCCCTTGGGTGCCGATGGGACAGCTAAATGAAACACCCTAACGACGAATTAGCACAGTGCCTGGCACACAGTCATGGTTAGCATGCAGCATCTAATAACAATCCTTTTACTCATTATTATGATTACTGCTGTTATTGTTTTGGCCTGCAAGACCCACGGGGATGGCTTTGAGAAAGTCTCCGGGGGGCTTAAGTGGAAACACCTGCCTGGAAGAACACGCAAGGCACAGCCACCCCTTCCTCTTCTGTCCCCCAGGAGCCCTAAGCACCCACCCGTCTACCACTCGGTTTCCTGGGACAGGCCTGGTTTACTCCTGCTGTCACAGCATGATTATTAAGAGCGTCCTTATTCACTCTTCACCTTGTCCTGATTTCCGATGAAAAATTCTAGGGTCCCCCCCTCTATCGTGTGCCTGTCACAGCCGGGTACAGTCTGCACACCATCGGGCTTCCTGAGAGCGAGGACCCGCGCGCGGCCCAGCACACTACAGCCCAGAGTTGATTCCATACAATTGTTCCTCAAACCTCACAGAACCTTCCAGAAAGTTCAGGAGTCTCACCCCACCGTCACAGGCCCACCAACCCTCCAGACGCCCTGCCCTCTAGCCATGTGGAGCAGATGGCAGACACCATACCTTTTGGAATCCAGCCGGCTTCCCTGGAGAATTCTGTGTCTGTTATTTTAGGGAAGGAGAGGAAAAGGAAAAAAAAAAGTTAAGTGAGTGAAACTTAAATCCCAACAGAGCCTGTAATGGAATATTCATTTTGTCAGGGGAGCATTTCTTTAAAACTTCTGGTCATCTGGACAGGCTGAGCCAGCAGGTGATTCGATTTAATGAGCTTTTTAACGCACTTCAGGCCCAGGTGGGACTCCGTCTGGGAAGGCCTGGGCTCAGGCCAGCAGGGGCACTGCAACCTGGCTGGGACTGGGCTGACACCTAGTGGCCAATACGGGTGTTGCGAGTCAGCCAAGCGGGAGCGCCAAAGCTTGGCGTCTGGGATCCGAGGGCTACAAGGGTCCTGGAAGGCCACCTCAACCAGCCCTGCCCTCGGGCTAACCTCTGTGCCTCAGTTTCTTCATAGGTCCTCAGAGAATAATAACAGCACCTCTTTTATAGGGTTGTTATGAAGACATAGCATTTAATAAAGGCTATTAGTTTAGCTATTATTGTTTTGTAGGAGGAGACGCGGGCCAAAGTGGGAAGGGGCCTGGTCAAAGTCACAGAGTGAGTTAGTGGAGGACGGGGACTAGATCTCAGTGCTCCCTCTAATATGCCTCCAACTATGGGGTGTGTTTTAGTGCTGGCTCTGTCTCTTACGAGCGCTGGGACCTGGGGTGAGTTTAACTTCTGAGTCTCAGCCCCCCTCTGGAGACTGGAGGTACGATCGCTCTGGCAGAGGCTTGCTCTAAGGACTGAATGGGGTGCTGTACGTAGGGTTTCAGCCTAGCAGGTAGCAAAGTGCTCCTCAGATGTTAACTACGACGGTTCCCGTTGTCGTTCCTGGCGCTCTAGCCTCAGAGGGTGACAGGATGGCTGCATGACATCTTGCAAATCAAGCCGTTAGGACCCAGGAGTCTCTCTCTCCTCTCTCTGAGTGGTCACCTCAGTGTGCTCAGGGCAGAGTGCACACGGGCCCATCTATGTTTCCCATGGGAACTTGGGCTCAGCCATAATCCCATCCCCGAGCCCGGGACCTGTGCATCCTTAGCACCTACCAGCAGCAGGCGGGAGTCCTTGAGTTTGGATTTGTACAGCATCCAACGGTAGCGCAAGTCTTCCATCTCATCCGAGGTCCCCCCTGCTGGCTTGAGGCGAAGGAGGTCCTCGAAGAGATGCTGACCTTCTGGCACCCGAGCCTCCAGCTCCTGTGGGGAAAAGGCAGTGTCATGTGTACCTTCCAAACGGCCCAGGCAGCCCCACCGGCTGGGTCGGAGGAGCCAATCAAATTCCACTTGACAGGAGCTGACAGAACCTACAAAGGGAGAATCCCATCCGTGCAAATTCCAGCCAAGGCCAGGCAATCCTTCTCCAGAATGTTACAGACTGGACTCCTGCAGAACACAGCAGCTGCACTGCTGACCTGCATGGTCACCCCCAACTCTGGCATTCTGGAACCAAGCCCTCCCGAGGACTTAACATAAGAGTTAGCAGCATTCTAAGAGCGGCCATTGTTCAACATCTTCCTATCGGCATACGTACAGTGATGTGGGGACCGAGCCGATTTTTCTATCAAAACACAGCACTGTGTTCCCCCAGGGTGGCACCTTTTATCCTCAGGACTCCTGAGAAGCAGCGTGATGCAAGGGGTTGGAGCAGGGCTCTGAGTCCAACAGCCTGGGTTTAAATCCTGGCTTTGGATCCTGGCTCTGTCCCATCCTACTAGCTGCGTGATAAGGGGAAAGTTTGCTTAGCTTTTCAGAGCTCCCTAACTGTGCGATCAAGGCAAGGGGGGTTCACCTGGGAAACCGCAAGTCATCTCTGATATGCCTGGAGTTGGGCAGTGGTGGCAGGACCCGGGGGAAGTGGTCGAGTATAAGGTAGGCAGGAAGGACTTCCTGGTCAGGGTCAACTAGGTAATTGGACCAAACCTCTCACTGAGGACAAAATATTCAAAACCTTTAAAAGGCATCAAAGAGTTAACAAGAGCGTGAGGCACATCAGGCTAAAACCAGGGCAAGGATGAACCCAGAGAAGTACACCCAGTGCTCAGGCCTGCTTTGCCTGTAGGACATTGGCCAATCTGGGAGAAAGTTGTGAAACAGACCATGCTTTTGGCAGCCTCACAGGGCTAGGGAGACAAAGGTCAAAGCCTGCAGAGGTGGAGACTCTGAAAACCATTCTCTCTTTAGCTGAGACTCCTACGTCTCCATCATCACGGTCAAAAATGGCAAATGCCTAGATGGAGACAGTGGTAGACAGAAATAAAACATATTCAAGAGGTAGAATCAAGGAGGGCTTGGTGACTATTTAGATGTGGGAGTGAAGGAGAAAGATTTGTGACAGATAGATTGCCCAGGGGAGCTCAGCCAAAGTTGCCAACCTTCAGAATCATGAGTTAAATAAACAGTTGCTGTCTGAAGCCACAAACTGTTGTGATGGTTTGTTACACAGCAAGAGTTCACTGATATAACAGTGAGGATTAGTGGGGAGAGTTTCCACATTGGGGAATACAGAAGTAGGCTAAATGAATGAATGAATGAATGAATGATTCCTTTAAAGTTCTTCTAAAATATTTGAACCAAAAAAGTTTAAAAACCATTGTTTATACACAGGCAAGAACAACTCACAAGCTACGTCTGTGCTCCTTTTTGAAGCACTTCCTGGCATCAAACATCTCTGAGGCAAACCCTGTGGAAAACGGGCCTTTCTTTGGGAACAAACCTGCAGCTTCGTTTCTCTGGTCCTCACGTCCTCGGCTGTGGCAGTTTTCATGGCGATGATTCTAACCAGCTTAGAATTTTCCACCTGCAGCCACTGCTCAAAGTTCCTCAGGAGCTGGGAGAAATCATCACAGCTGCCTTCCGCTTCCTGGGGCAGGTTTGCCTGCAGGAAAGCACAGTGTGACCAAAGCATCAGAAGTAAAAAGAGCCTACTGGCCGCGCGTCCTGGGGATTGCATCTGAGGCAGAGGGGCGGGGATGAGGATGAGAGAGGCCTGGGGGGACAAGGAATGTCTCTACTCAATGTGGCCACGGTTAGGGGCCAGGGACTTTCCTCACTGTCACATCCCAGGTCTCCTAGTAGCAGTCACCATCATCTCTTAGCAAGATGGTTATTAAGATAGTGGTTATCCTCCTGCTATTCCTGTCCCCTTCCAGCTCTGCAACCAGAGTGATCGGTCTAGTATGCTAGTTCATTCAGCTGAGCCCTCGCTTATACACGTGGGTGGCTTCTCACACTCCTCCCTGTGGCCTGAGAGCCTCAGGTCTGGCTCTGCCTGACTCCACAGCTCATGCCACCATCCCCCGTTCTCTCTCGCTCTTCACACACAGTCTCCTCTGCATGGAGTGCACCCACCCCTACTCCTCTCCTCAGCTCCCACCCAGCCGTGTGGCTTCCCCTGACATTGCTTTCCTCCTGGGAGCGTTTCCCTACCCCAGAACTGGGTCACGGTCGCCTGCAACAGGCTCCCGTCGCATGTGGCCCCTCTGCCATCGCACACCATGCTGTCTGTAAACCCTTAATTGCCTGTTTCTCACTTCTTTGTCCCTCAAAATGTGCTCTGAGGCCCAGCGGCAAGGGCTTATAGAAATGCAGACTCATGGGCCCCTACCCTGGACTCTGCTGAATCCGAATCTGCATTTTAATATGATCGCTCTGCAACATGAAAGTTTCTGCACTGAATTCTAGATTCCCTGCCGGTCGGAAGTGTGTCTGTTTTATTCACAGCTGTGTCCCACCTCTGAGCACAGTCCTCAGAACACGGTAACACTCCCTAAGTGCCTTTTGGATGGGGAAGCGAAAAACTAAATGGGAGAATGATGGAGTGACGTGCTGTCTTTTAAGAACAAGGAGGGAATTTCTTTTCGATGTGCTTTCTTTCTTTGAAGGCAGTCAGGGGACAGGGTGGATGACACAATGTAGTCAGGCCAGTTCTTTTTACCAAATACAACTTTTGGCACATACACTAAAGAACACCCACTTTGTGTGATTTTAGTGTGCCATCTGGGGACAGCAGGAAGCTTTCAACCCTGACCACGTCCTCCCTGCAGGGGCCCATTTTTTTGAGGGGTGAGCGCCCGTCTGCCCAGGGGATGCTCAGGCCCTTCCCCTGGGGCCTAGGTCTGTCTCTGAGTCCTCTGTCCAGTGGCACAAGGAATGCGCGTGCCACAGCAAGGCAGGCTCACCTGAGATGGGACATGCCCAAGCCCCGAGTATGTGGCCGCGGGCAGGGTGGGGAGGCTTTGCTGGAGACGCCCCCGTCCCCCAATCACTGGATTCGGGATCTGGCCCCTCCTGGAAGCCCCACTGGACAGACTTACCTGGCGGTGACGCCTGGAAACAGGACCCGTGGGGGAGATGAGAAACCCAGTCTTCGGGATGTTGTTGGTGAAAACCATTCTCTTCCCTGAATCCACTTCCGTCCCTTGCAGTTGCCGGTTTCTGACGAGGCTAAGAAGAAAAACTCAGTCCAGTCAATGTGGGGACATGATGGGAACTCACCAATCACGAGAGAAGTGATAGAATTGGAGGATCTTGTGGTGGGGGGCTACTTCTGGTCTTCCCAAGTCAGTGTCTATCCCTCATGTTTGTCAGAAAGTCTCCAAGGCACGTGCATTTCCGGTTTCCTACTTGAGACCCACATCAGTGTCATTAAGGTGCATGTCCCCACTGATGCAGGTGACGCCCAAGCCCGAATGGGCTAGAGGCTAAGTCCCAAGCTGACACGTTTCCCTGTTCCTGTTGCCCCTGCTACAATGCCAACTGGGCCAGAATGGAGATGCCCGCAGGCCCCTGGTGCCATGCCTGGCACACAGCAGAACCTCAGCCTTCTGTTCCATGGCACCGCGGAGCTCTCCCCTGGACAGGAAGGTGTGTTGTCTGAGGCCAGGCTCAGAGCCAGGAGGCCCTCTCACCTCAGCAGGCTTTCCTCCAGCAGCCCCAGGGCCCGCCACGACTCTGTCAGCTCCCTCAGCTCGTCCTGAACCACAGCAGCCCCTTCCGCAGAGGACTTCTCCATCACCAGCTGGCCGTGTGCTTCGATCAGGGGCAGCTGGGCCTCCTTCTCTGGGAATTGAGCCAGTAGCCTCTAAAGGAGAGACACAGACACACAGACAGACAGACACACACACACACACTGAGGTCTGGGGAAGGGGTCCCTGCTCCCCAATGAGGCTACTTTGGCCTCTCAAGCCTGCTTTTAGGGATGCCACTTCTCTGCAGGGAAAGCCATCTTACCTCAATTTCAGCTTCTCGGGACTGGGCATCCCATGGGCCTGCGTCCCTCCGGTATGACTCCAGCTTCTGCGTGACCACGGCGATCCACTGCTGCAGCTCCAGCAGCTCGTGGCTGAAGGTGCAGTGCTCCCGCACGCTTCGCCGGCACCCGTCCACGAGGTCCTGCAGCACAGCCCCGGGGGGCCCAGGGCACCCTGAGTGCTGGCCCAGGTTCAGACCCTGGGCCACCCCGACCCTGCAGGACCCCCAGACCTGCCCAAGCCCTGGGGTGAGATGGCCCCCGGGGCTCCCCAGCAAGCAGGAACAAGAGACGCTAGTCCTCCCTTCTGCACAGTGCAAGGATTTACCCCGGAAAGACCAACTCTGGTATAAACAGCCTCTAAGCTTATCTTACTTTTATGGAAAGTACCAAGTCTGGAAGAGGGTGTGGGCATCAGAGCTCTCGTCCACCACCGGTGTGGGGGTAAGCTGGCACAACCACATGAGAAAACCTTAGGGCGATATCTACCAAAACTGAACACGGGCATCCCTATGACCCAACCATGTCACCACTGGGTGTACACCCAACAGATATAAACACATCTGCACCGAAAGGCAGGCGTGTGGTGTTCCCTCTCATAGCCCCGAGCTGGAAACTACCCAAGTGCCTGTCAACGGTAGGCCGGATGAGCACACTGACGTATAGTCATCCAGTGGAATATTTTACAGCAGAGAGAATGAACAACTCACACAGCAATCTAATACATTATGGATGAATTTACACCCATCCTGAGAGCGAGAAGCCACACACACACACACATTCTGTCTGATTCAGCTTAAAGAACACATAGGACCAGGCAAACCCAATCTTTATGCTGTTCCAAGTCCAGGTCAGGGTGACTCTCAGGTATCAGGAGTGGGAGGCAGTGGCTGTAAGGACATGAGGGGCTTTGGAGGGGGCGCTGGTATTGTGTCGTGATCTGGGTGCTGGTAACACGATGTGCTCAGTTTTTACAATTTTATCGAGCTGCGCACGTACATGTTCACTTTTCTGTATGTGATGACACTTTGGTAAAAAGGATCTTTAAATAGTCTTGCTTGTATTCCCCCTGCCCGGGTCAATCGTTGCTCAGCTCCCTGAGGCTAGGGCCTTGTTCTTCTCTGTCTCCATAAAAGGTGGGCTCTGTAGCCAACGAAGCAGACACTCTCCACCCCCCTGGTCACCCAGCCGGGGACCCGCCCTCTCAGGCCACCACAGGTCAATCAGAGCCGGGGGCCTGCCATCCCCTCTCATGCTCTGGTCCCTGGCTTAAGTCTTCATGACTCTCGGCCGGGCCACCACAGGCCCTGCCTTCCAGCATTCCACAGACACCAGCTGACGCGGCTGGATGTCAGGGCCACCAGGAACTGGGACCAGAGAGGGTGCACCATATCTGTCCTCCACAAACCACCAACAAGGGCCTGAAAAACTATCTAAAACCATTTCCCTGTCCTCTCACTGCCTCCGTCCCCTCCTGTCCCTGAGCACCCAACGGCCTTCAGTGGCCCCCATGCTAAGTGGGGCACATGCCCCTGGAAGGGTGGGGGGCAGGAAAGTCATCTGGGCTGTGGGGGAAGAACTTACTAGAACGTATTAAATTTAAAAAGCACCAAGTACCAACATAATAAAACAGGGGAAATACTTCTTCAAAGAAGTATTTTAAATAATACAGAAGTATGATAGATAGAATATCACCCCTTTTTGCAGCCCCTAATGATAGTCAGTTAAGCTTCTTCTAATTATTCTAATCATCAGTCTCATCCCTCATCATTGAAGCTGACATTTGCTGCTGCTGCTATGGGCTCCTGAAGGGCATGACCGCGGTTCCAGTTTCTCTGCTCCCCCTGCCTCACCCTTGGGACCACTAGCTGTTGATTTATTAAATTAAATGAATCCATCCAGACCTTACGTGTCACTCAGACCAATGGGTCTCTCTGGGTAGAGCTGCGTTTCTTGGAAATTCATGTTGGGGGGGGTGGGGGTGGCGGTTAGTTACTGCAATAATGACGGGGCGGGGGTGACGCCAGCAGGCAGAGTGAGGGTGACGGCTGCTCCCGTCGACTCTGGAGAGGACAGTGCACAACACAGAACTGCCCCATATTCCACAGGGCTGTCTCGTGCCCTACCAACACCCACACGGTGAATAACCTGGTTATCGGGGCCCGAGCTTAGAACCCGACTCCAGTTAACATACAAGCACAGAGGTTTTTGCAGTTTTAATAAACATGCTGACTTTCCGGTTGCAAGCTGATGGCAGAACGCGCTCTGGTTTGACTGAAACTTTACCAAGGGCTGTTTCCATTTCAGGAACTCTCATCACAGAGGCATTTGAGGCTGTTGTGTCTCATAGAGGGGGTGTGTTATGACCACCTTCTAGCCTTGGTGTGGCCATCTTGGAGTACTTATGTATGGAAAGACATTATTTTTCATAAATACTTTCCTTTTATTTTTCTTTTCTTCTATAGAAAGGGCATTACATTAAATTTTGAAATGGTATAGGTACTTATACTATCTATGAATTTCAGAATAGGGCACACACGGTCCATTTGAGCGAAGAACCCTGCCTTAGACTGAGGTTTTTTTTTAAGTATGGCTGCCTGAGAGCAGGCTTTGTGCTCCTGGGGCATTGTTACAAATGCAGACCCAGCCCCCCTGTGAATCAGCATCTGGGTGGGGCCTGGAGCCTGCATTTCAACTTGTCCTCAGGGGAAGTTTGAAGGACCCTCAATTTCCATTCCCCTGCTCCAAAGGGAACCAATCCTTTGCGGACACCAGAAAGATCCACTAGAGGGCGCTGCAGATGCGGCTCCCAGCCACTAGGACCCGCCTCAGCCTCAGTTAAAGCGGCAGATGAGATGAGGCCTGCTGCCCGCTGGGCTTTTGTTAGGATCTGAGCAGTCTGTTCTGTTCTCTGGCCCCTGGCACATGTGGAATTGTGTATTTACGTCCCACTGGGCTTTCGTTAGGATCTGAGCAGTCTGTTCTGTTCTCTGGCCCCTGGCACATGTGGAATTGTGTATTTACGTCCCACTGGGCTTTCGTTAGGATCTGAGCAGTCTGTTCTGTTCTCTGGCCCCTGGCACATGTGGAATTGTGTATTTCCTTGTGGCTGCTGACTCACTGTCCGTCTACCCACGAGAATGGAACCCCAGGGAGAAGAGGGGTGTTGGCTCTCTTGTTCATGCTTCCTCCATCCTCAGGGCCCAGAACATACAGGCTTGGCATACAGGCGGCACTCAATAATTGCCCGTTGAATGAATGAGGAGGGGAGAGAGAAAAAGAAGAGCTGGAAGGAATGAAGGAAGAAAAGAGGGGAGAGGTTCCAGGAGTGTCAGGTTTTAGAGCCTGGTATCTGTCACGTCACAGGCCCTCGGTTGGTCTCTTACCTCCAGGGACCTCTGCAGGGCCTGGTAGTCGGCAGAAAGCCGGTCCATTTTATGCTGGTGGTTGGGGTTCCCCTGGATGAGCGGCCTCACGGCCTCCAGCTGCACCCCCAGGTCCAGCGCCTCTTCCTGCAGCTCCTGCAGCAGAGGAAGGAATGAGTGGGGGCGTCCTCGCTGCCTCTCATCATGGATGCTGATCAGGGCGGGAGGCTCTGAGTGGGAGAGATTGGGAGGGTCCCAGGACGGCGGGGCTCCCCAACTCCAGAGGCCGCACCGCATGGCCGTCTGATGGCCCCATTCTCAGGGCTGGTGAGAATTTTTTAAATGATTCAAAAATATCCTGAGCCATCGTGAAAATAAACTGGGGGATAAACACATGTAGACACTTATTTCATGACCACCTCTCGTGATGAACACTCATATCCCAGCGCTAGTTCTAAAGCCCCAAATGCACCATTTTTAATGTCTTCCAAACAATGCTCTCCACTTATGTATGAGCTGTGCTCGCTTGGGTTTTAAAAGGTCTCATGCATTTTAAAAACCAGCAAGCTCCTCACCCAGCCAATAATCACCAGTAATCTGCCTACCCACACAGTCCATCCACATGTGTTTTAAAGCATTTAGTCTCGATCCCCAAATTGGTTTATTTAAGCGAAGGCCTCTGGACTCATTAGAAACACTTAGCAAAGCAATTGTAAAACAAATACCCACGTTAGACTTTGGAACCCCAGGATAAGCAAGAGGACAGCTTATCATTTTACTAGGCCGGAGAATCAGCTGTTGGAGGTGCGAAAGGCCCTGCCAACGTCAGGAACCATCAGGTAAATTAGCAGAAATTCGGTCAGGACGAAACGTCAGATCTCAAGGGAGGGTCTCAGTCTGTGGCTCGCGGGCCAGCTGCTGCTTTGCCGGTTCCTGCTAAGGAGGAGAGCTGCTTCCAGGTACAGCTGAGCACCTGAGCAGAAGTGACCGTGGGCCCCACAGACCCCTTACCTGCAACCTTGAAAGCTGCGCTTGTTTCCCAGGAAGGTCCCGCTGGAGCCCATTCTCGGCTTGGACCCTGACTTGGAGGTCTGAGAGCTTCCTCTGCAGGGGCTCAAAAGCGGCCCCAAAATCTTTGTGCTGAGCGAGCAAGCTCTGTAGAGACACAAACACAGAACAGGCAGCAGACCAATTGAGAGCTTTGCTCACAACCCAGCTGCTCTTTCTCCAGCCTCCTATGCCACCTCCTCCAGAAGCCTTCCCAGAGCCTTTGGGGGGTTGGACGCCCTCCTCAGAGTCACCATGGTGAGCCCTCACATAACGGTGGTTCTGCCCTCTAGAACAGGGGCCGGCAAACTACATCTTGTACCACACACCCCAAATCCCACTAGAGGCCTGTTTTTGCAAATAAAGTTTTATTGGAACAGAGCTGCGCCCATTTCTTTACAGCTGCTTTCATGCTACAGTGGCAGAGTTGAGCTACAACAGACCGTCTGCCCTGCAAACCCTGGAATGTTTGCCACCTGGATTAGTGAGATTATGTGATGTGAAGCTCTCAGCAGGTGCCCGGCCCCTGCTCAGTGCCCCATAGACCACGACTCTCGTCATCCTCATCATCCTCATTAGATGCTCAGCAAACACTTGTTACATAGAGAATAAACTGCCCGCAACAGGTTCAGTGTAGCCATTTAGGAATCGGTCCCTGATACAATAGCTGCCAGCTCTCTGGTGGTTAAAAGCTGACTTATTTTCTGTGTTTTCTCATTTGACACTCTGCCTGCTTTTTGCAGGAGACAGTTCAGCGACTGCAGTGTAGAAAGGGGACTTGGGGGCGGACTCAGGGGGCAGGTGGGTGGTCAGGAGACCATTTAGAAGCATACTGACGAGGAGCCAGAGATTGTGGGGACAAACAGACGTGCCAGGGCCACAGAGGGGCATGTGGGGGAGCTGAGATCAGAATACAAGGCTGCCCGCCCCCCACCCCCCTGCCCCCAAGGTGGCCCCATCTTCCGGCTGAGCCCCATTGCCAGGCAGACAGCCGGTGGGGCTCACCTGCAACTTGCTTTTCCTCTGCAGAAGGCTGTTGTGTAGCAGGTCTCTGTCCCTCATGGAACTCGCCACCTGCTCCAGGAGGGCTGCGGCTCTCTCCTGACCAAAGACGCTGCTCAGCAGGTCTTTTTTCAGCTGCAGCATGGTCAGCTGCTGCTTCAGGCGGGAGCTTTCTGCCAGGGCCGCCTGTGGGAGACAAAGCCTCCATTAATCACGGAGCACGATGGGACAAGAAGAAGCTGGCAACCAGAGCCAGGAGCACACCTGTTCTGTTGCAACTGCTAGGAGGCTGAGCCTTTGTGCTGGGTTCTAAGAAAGCGACAAACATAAGAAGAAACGGGGTGGCAGGAATGTGGTAGGAGGCCCTGAATTTCAGGGTTAACTTGATTCTTCTCTCACCCGCCCCCCACATCCATCTTATTAGCAAAGCCTGAGCAAGAATTCCACCACCTACGTGCTTCAGAAGTCCATTTCCTCTCCATCTCTACTACCACTGACTGTCACTCACACTCAGCTTTGCTCACCTGGACCACAGCAGCTCCTGACCACCAGCTGCCTCCAGAATCAACCATCCCCACTGCAGCTGAATACAAACAAACCAACTGGACCCTCTACTCAACATTCACCTTCACCAACAGCAGTGGGCCACCCCCCAGGTGGTGTTTGGGATGTTCTGAGGGGGCTAACAGCCTATGGGAGCACAATCAGCGGGAATTCAGGAAGGCTCCCCGGAGGAGGTGGCACCAGAGTGGAGTCATGATGTGTAGGAGCTCACCAGGTGAAGAGGGGACCTAAAGGGGACTCAGAAGCCCCCTTGTCATGGGTAGCGGCTCCCACACAGCCTGAACTCCGCACAACCCAGGCTCCACCTCCTCCAGGAAGCCACCCTGACCACACTCCCAGACTCCATCCACCCTTCCTGCCCCATAGCCTTGTGCCAAGCCTCAGGCTCCTGCTGACTAACCAGTGGTTCTGGGTAAGGACCTCTTGTTTCTCTAACAGAGGGCTCCAGGGCCTGGAGGCCAGAGGTTTTGTTGTCAGCTGGCCAGAGTCCTTCCATTTTTACCTGATGATGTTACTGAGATCTTGAGCTCCTCACAGGGCTGGGAGAGGAAGAACAAAGACCCCAACCAGGTAACTGCAGCCCGAGGCAGAAAGTGATTGTTTTCCTAAGCAAAGTTTCAACTAAGTGCTGTGGGTGTTCAAGGCAGAGGTGGACACTCCCGGCTGAGGAAATCCAAGAAGGTTCCTCAGAAGAAGCAATACTGACAACTGCCCTGGAAGGGCAGAGGGCGTCCCTGGAAGAAGGGCGGCAGCATAAACACGGCTGACACAGCTAGGCTGCAGTAACCTGTGGATGAGGGCATGTGATTTGCGACTGGCTACACGGAGGTCAAGGCTCTTTAGGTAGGGGGTCACCTTCACCCCCTTTCAACAAACCCAGATGCAGTATCATGGGAGTTAAGAATCATGCTGAGGAGTGACGATCATGAGTTGAATTATACACTAGCTAGGAGGCCTTGGGCAGTTCTGAGCCTCGGTTTCCTCATCTGTAAAATAGGAGTACTCACACCCCAGCTCATGGGGTTGTTATGGGACTTACGTAAGACGATACCTACAAAGCATTTCACATAGTGCAAGACCCACAGGGAACACACAACGAAAGACAGCTTTTCTCAGCTATTATTATTTAACCAGCTGATACGGGTTGAACTGTGTCCTCCCAAAAAAAGGTATGGCAAAATCTCTCCCCCCACTACCTCAGAATGGAACATTCTTTGGAGATTGGGTCTTTACAGAGGCAATCAAGTTAAAGTGAGGTCATTAGGGTGGGACCCTAACCCAGTGTGACTAGTGACCTAGTTAAAAGGGGAAGTTTGGACCAGACACACGCACAGACGGAAGATGATGTGACGATGCATGGGGAGAAGGCGTGTCCATGTGATGACAGACAGCGGCAGAGACTGGAGTGATGGATCTATTAAGCCTGGGAACAACATCAACTGCAGCAAATACCAGAAGCTAAAAGCGGGGAGGGTGGATTCTCCCCTAGAGCCATCGGAGAGAGCAAACCCTCTGGAAACTTTGATTTTGGACATACAGCCTCCAGAACTGTGAGAAAACGAATTTCTGTTGCTTTAAGCCACCCAGTTTTTGGTACTTTGCTCCGGACACCCTAGGGCACTCAGACACCAGCCATGCCCAACTTTGGGGACTCAGTGTTTCAGTTCTCGAGGAAGTCTGCAGATGCGCAGGCCACCCTGAGGCTGCATGCAGGATCTGAGTCAAGACAAGATAGGGCCGGCAGCTTGAGCTCTGGCCCACGACATCCAGCCACCCCTCACCCGGACATGCTGGTGAGAGTGATACAAGACGCTCCCAACCAGCAAATGGCGTCCGAACATGAACAAACCGAAGTCCTGGCCCCACCTGTTCCCCCACTGCTCCATGAAAGTCCTGCTCTGGGAGTCCAGGGCCACACTCTGGAAAGACAGGTGCTCACCCTCCTGCCTCCAGAAGGCCCCGGTTTGCTTTCTGCCCCAGAGGGAAGGACAGGATAGAAAAGCAATTGTGACACAGTTAAGCAAAGCCCTTGCTGTGGAGTCAGACGGACAGGGCTGGGTCAAAGGCAGCCCTCCCACGTAATGCCGGGGTGACCTTGAACAGGTGGCTTCCTCTCTCTTAGACTTGGTTCCCTCAACAGTCAAATAATAGTAATAACACTGCTTTGTTTGCCTCACAAAGCTGTTTCTAGAAACCAGTGTGAAAACAGGAACAAGAACGTTAGCTGAAAGTCTAAGAGCCCACCATTCTGGGTCCCACTCTGCCTCCCTTGAGTGGCCTGACCTGGAACAAGCACCCTAGCTTCTTCCTGGCCCCAGTCCCTCAGCAAAATGGAGGAGGAGAAACGGAGACAAAAATCTGTGTACATAGATATTCAACACATACGTATTAATTATGACAATGAACATTGGAAACAACCTAATATCTAATTGTGGATACATTAAATAAATTATGGCACACCAAAATGGAATATTATGCAGCAATTAAAAATGATGACTTTTACAACAATTTTAAATGATGGTGAGAAAAAGCTCATATGGGTAGAGTGGCAATATCAGTGGCTATAACAATATAGCATGACCCCAAACACACAAAAATTATAATTAATTAATTAAAGCTTCTGTCTATTGGCAACCATAATATCCCATGGAAAAAGGCTAAATGGATTTTCATCAGATACAAGGGGTATATTTGGGACACACGGTTGAGGTTTCTGGCACACATGAAATTCATTCTGGGGGTCCCTGACAAGTACCTCAAAAAGGTAAACCATCATGCTTTGGAGCTTGGGGGGAAGAGAGCCCACAGGCCCTCCGGAAGGAAAGGCCATGCACTGCAGCTTAAGAAATACGGAAAGAAAACGCTTGCTCCCACCTGAGCTCCAAATGGAAAATCACGTGGGCAGATACTCCAAAATGGGGTGCTGGTCTACACTCAGGAGTGTGCTCGAGGGTGAGTAGGGGCCAACCCTGGTTAATACCAAGTCGGACAGAAAACGTGATGGAGAAAGTGCCCCAACATGTTACCAGAGGTTCTGTGGCTTGTGGGAATGTGAGTGCTTTTTGTTTTCTTCTTCACAAATCTACTTTCTCCAAGTAAGCATGACTTTTATAATCAGAGTGAAAATAAATATAAAATGGGGCTTACACCTGACACTCTGCTGTGTCTCTTCGCACCCTCTGTGTCTAAGAATCTCTAGAACTGAAAGCACTGTATGGACTTGAGCGCTCCAGGATACCCTAAGGCAGTGTTTACAGGTAAATCAGAGCTACCAGGTTGACAGGGCTTTGTGGCCGACACTGTTGGCTGCTCACTCAACAGCCATTCCGCCTTGCTCACCATACAACCAGGATTTTGTTTGGGTAGCGAAGGTCCCAGTTCCAGGTTCCAGGGCTATGATTATAATAATACAAGCCAGTCATGGCTTATCCCATCATCCTTAGCTAGTGATTGGTCCATGGATGGTCAGGTGACCGGGTGTGGCCAATGAGATGTAAGGGGCGGGCTTCTGGGGAGGAGGATTTGCCTCTCTGTTGGGTAGATGGAGAGTGCCGTTTTGCTCCGTGCTGCTCCTTCCTGCACACGGTGCTGTTCGTGTAAGGATGCATGCTGCAGCGGTGGCAACCATCTCGGAGCCATGAAGGGAGACACAGGTTAGAGCTGGGAAGAACTTAGGTCCTGCATGATACTGTTGAGCTATCAAGCCAGACATGGACGTTTTAAGCCATCATTGGTCAGGTTTTGTCACTTGTCACATGCATCCTAACTGATACATGGTAAAGGTGATGGCCTGACAGCTCTCTCAGAGTTGCTCATGCACCCCCCAGAGGCACGTCTGCAGTGAGGTCCTGAAGGGAAAGGGTGTGGAAGGGTCAGTGCAGAGTCACCAGGCACCAGGCTTCGCCTTCTACCCAAGAACTGAGGATGACCTTTGTATCTGTTATGTGTTGACATTTCCTGGACATATAGGACTCCTACGCCAGACATGACGCAATGAGCTCTACCCAGATGTCCAGAGGACCCAGGAACACGCTTTTCCCTGTGAGAGTGGCTGAAATGCTATGCTTGACTGGTGGCCTCCCCCAGCTGCACCAGTCAGCCCTCCTGGCCGACCGTGGTTACCTCAATCTGGGGCAGGAAGGTGTGAATGGAAGGCGGGTCTTGCAGGTTGGCGGTGACATCCAGGAGCCTCTGGGCCAGGCCCCTCCACAGCTGCAGATCCTGCAGAGGCCGCTGAAAACGCTGCCACAGCTCCACCCCCGTGGCATTGCGCAGCCTGGTGCTCGTCCCCTTCATGCTGCAAGGGCCACGGGTCGGGGAGAAACCAAGACAGGAGGCAGTGGGGTCAGCCAGGCAGCGAGGCCTCTGCCCAGACTCCCAGGGAGCTTGGCCTGTGTTGCCCCCAGGGTGGTCCCTCTCCCGTCCCCCAGGCTGCTGGGAGTGTCTGCGGGACCTCAGAGGTCCATGCCCTCTGGATAAAAGGGCACTGGAAGGACACCAGTCCTCAGACAGACTTGCAGCCCAGCTTCATGACCAGGGAACGTTAAGTCCTGAAGAGGAGCTATGGAAACCCTAGACAGGTGCTGCCTGCCTCCAGGCACCTTGCAGAAGCAAACAAAAGCCTTTCTTGAGGAAGGTGTCGTCACCCTGGGCCCAAATAATTTCTACAGATGATTTTTCAAGTACAATATCCAGCACCCAGCCACAGATAACCACCGCCTGATACGTCCACGAGAGAAACTGGAGGGAAAGGAAGATCCTTAGCCATCTAGTCCCACTGCCTGCTTTGCACACAGGAAATGCAAGCTCACTACCCGCCCCCCCCCCACCCCGCTTTGCATCCCCAGGAGGATCCAGGCAGCTGCTCTGAACAGGCAGAGGTGGGGGCCTGAGCACACTGTGGGGTGAGAGACACACAGCAAGGGGAGAGCTCCCCGAGTTCGTTCTGGAAGAACCCCTGGATCAGGCAGAGGAAATGAAAGATGGACGGTTGTGTTGTGTTCCGAACGAACACCTCTGAGGCTCATGTAGTGAAAACAGGGTGGATATCTGACCTGCTGATCTTTGCTGAGCTAGACAACTGGAGACCCGCTGTGCCTGAGCCCAGGGCCTAGGGGGAGGTAGAGGCTGGCATGGAGACGGGCTCAGATGCCTCCATCAGCACCCTCAGCAAGCGGGGCATGATGTTTGTCTACTGAAAAGCTCCCCCCTTGGGCCATTACATGGGGACCCATCCCCAGTGCTAAGGAGACTTGATGGAAATGAGTGCATGATCCACTAAGCATGGAGAAAGCATTGTTCAGTCGTCTCTCTGGGAGCAAAACACAAAGTACTGTCCAAAGAGACAGTACCTGAGCCGAGTGAGACCTTGTAACAGCCAGTCGTTGAGAGGTGTAAGAATTACTTATGAGTTACCAGGCTCCAAGAGAAAGCAAGCCTTCCTCCTGGGGGCGGCATTTGGTGGGGAAAAAAGGCCCCTGAGTCCCGCCACCCTCAGCCCCCCACATACCTCTGGTACTCCTGGATGGCAGCGACGACACTGTCGGGGAGCAGCTGGAGGTCATGGGGGAAGACAATCAGCTCCTTCAGCTGGGCCTGCAGCTGGTCCACCCGCGGTTCCTCCGCGGCCAGCGCTGCCCGAGTTGCCTGCAGCACACAGATGACCCCCGAGGGGGCGAGTGAGGTTCTGCGACAGGACAGGGGGTGTGTGTGCAGGGGGATGAGTGTGGCTGGTGGGAGTGGGCCAGGCAGGGAGAAAATGGTAACTCACTGCAGGGCAGTGAGCTCAGACCCTGCCTTCCACCTCCGGTTCTGTGACTCTCACCAAGCTGGCTTTTCTCTTCATATCATCTGCCTCACGGCATTTGCATAAGTACTAGCACCTAATAATACAGATAACTAATATCTAGGGGACATTGACACCACGCTGAATGCTCTGAGTGTCCCATTCTTTTAAGCCCCTCAATGATTCTGGAAAGAGGGCCGGCCAAGTGGCTCATTGGTTAAGAGTTGGCTTGGGAGCACAAGCTCTGAGCAGCAGGGCCCCGGTTCGGATCCCACATGGGGGCCAGTGACACTGCCCTCTACAGCTAAGATGGCGAACAACAGCTCGACCTGGAGCTGGGCTGCCATGAGTCGCCACCAATGGTGTAGGCTGCAATGGGGCTGCAATGGGTTGCTGTGAGCTACCATGAATGGCTGGCAACCAGCATGAGCGGCCAGCAGCTGGCGAAAGCTGCTGTGAGCCACTGTGAGCGGCCGTCCAATAGCTGGCGACTGATCTGCCTCACCCGGGAAGAGCACAATGATCACAATACCAACATGGGCCAGTGAAGCAACGTCCTCCACAACTAGACTGAAAAACAAAAGGACAGCAACTTGTCTGTTCCCCTTCCCCAATTACCCAACACTGTTCCCCTCCCCCAATTCCCCAATAAAAATCTTTAAAAAAAAAAAAAGATTCTGGAATGTAAGTCTGTGTCCCCATTTCATACACATGGCAACTCCAGCTAAGTGTTTTCTGATGGCCACAGGGCGGTGACCATGGACCTGACCTGGGAGCCCAGCCCTCTGGCTCTAGCTCTTTACCTGCCTCTTCGGCGCCAACAGGAACAATGGCCTACAGGTGCTTTGTGACCCACCTATTGTGATTGGCAGGCTGCGAGGACATTCCCACTGAGCGCGCCCCAAGCGCTCGATGTGGCTGCTGCCTGCATTGTGACACTTCAGACCGGGCCCCTTCCTGCTGTCCCGGGCAAGCTGTGGGGCCTCTGAGGGCTCAGTCCCCTCGTGTATAAAAGGGGGTGGGGGTCCTGGCAGTTACCCCGCCCAGGGCTGTGGAGCCCTCAGAATGGCGTGCTGGGTAAATAACAGCCTCAGGTGATGATTCGGAGGGTGAATGCGTCCCTCACTCACACAGGCTTTCCGCACAAGTTGCTCTTTCAGCTGAGGCCCTGACACACCTGCTTCCTTGAAGTTTGCCTGTTTCTCAAAGATGGAAAACAGTCTGCATTTCTTGCTCCTCGGCACAGGGCAGGCTTACTGCACTCTACCTTCCTCCCCTGCTGTGCTGCTCCAAGGGTGCTCCCAGCCCACAGCAGGCCAGGCCACCTGGCAGTGACACACCTGGCCTGGTCCCCGGGCACCCAGAGGACTGGGCTGAGCAGATCAGGTGTGTCTGCTCCTTCTATCGACCTCGTCACAAGAAGTGCAAACAGTAACTACGCAAGCACTAGTTTAAGAAACAAGCCTCTAGTAATAAATTCTAAAATTCCCTCCCACTGGTTTCTGGTGAGTCACAGCTTGGTCAGAGTTGAGGTGACATCCGTTTGGGGTGGGACAGACAGCCTCTGTAGGGATGTGGTCAGCGCCAGAACGGGTGAGTGGCTGTGGTGACAGGGTGGTGGCAGGGCTCTCCCTGAGAGCCGACATTCTGGCCAGTGCTGTTCTGAGCACCTTTTGTTCTCACACGACCGTAAGGAATGTGTGAGGTGGATCCTATCATCGCCATGTGTGCTTCACGTTCAACTGAAATGAAAGTAATTCTCCCAAAGCCATCCGGTTGGCAAGAAGAACCAAGACTTCAGCCCAGCAGTCTGATCCCACAGTCCCTGCCATAACCACCGAACCACACCACCTCCACCCTGAGCAGGCAGACAGTCCTCAAGGGGAAACGATTCCCTTTGTAAGAACTTGACTGTGACAGTGGAAGCGGGTCTCCTACAACGCGGCTGAGTGAGCCCTGAGGAGTATGTGTGCCTTGCTCGTGCCCTACACAGACATATTTTGGGATACGGGCAAACAGCAGAAGGAAGAGAAAAAACTAGGTCGAATATGCAGAGTGGAGGCGGGGTCTGGATGGCTTTTCTTTTAGCTATAATATCTCCCCATTGACCTAACCCATTGAGTTAATAAATAAACATAGGAGTGGGAGGAGGGTGCATGAAGGGAGGGGTGCTGTGATTGGACATGTCTGGTGGGAACCCACCCCACCCTCCCCAGGAAGGGCATCGTCTGCTTGGCCTCCTCAGGACCCAACTGTCTTTGTCCATCACCATCTCTACATGAAGAGCTCTCCCTCTGACCTAACACTTCCTGCTCTGTGCTCGGGAAGTCCACCCCATATCCCACCATTGGGCAAGGGAGTGGCTAACCTGGACCCAATCCACCTCTGGTCTTGTTTACCCACCGACTCATCATGTGATACTAGGGATGCTGGGGGGGGGGAATTTCTCCAGGCCTCAGTTTCCTCATCCGGAAAATGGGTGCAAACACCCAAACTTCATAACACCCAAAGATCCAGGAAAACCAGAGTGAGCGTGCTTAAGGCTTAGCGTGAGTCTCCACCATGCAGAGGAGCTCCACGTGGCGACACTCCAGGGCACATGTGCCACCTGCACGGACGTGGCTTGGCCGAACATTGCTTACCGAGTAGAGTCTCCAGTGGGCCACCAGCTCGTCCTCAGTCCCCACCTTCGCCGTGGGCTCCAGGCCCTCCTCCGTCAGCCTCTGAAGGCCCTTCCTGAACTCTCCCAGCTCGGCCTGCAGCTGCTTCTTTTGCCGCTCAAAGGCCCCCTTGGACTTGAGCAGGCCCCGCAGCCGCTCCTCCTCTTCCTCCCAGAGGACCCGCAGCTTCTCCAGAACTTCCCGCATCTCTTCCAGTTCCTCAGTGATCTTCTCTGCACCCAAAGGAGAGGTGTTCTGGATGACCCCCACCGCCTGCTCCTCCAGCCTCTTCAAAGACTCCTCGCCCCTGGGAAACTCTTTGGCGATGTCCTGTAGAGGGTAAGGGGTGATAAAAAGCACGAGGGGAAAAAAGGAAACACTGGCGGTGTTTTCAGAACCCCTGGGAACATCATGCTAAGCACTAATTGATTTCTGGATTCCTGGGTTACAGCCACAGGCACCTTTCCAAGGGGTTTGTCTCCTTAATAACATTGACTCACAGCACAAGGATGTCATTCCCTGCCCACATCTCTTACTAGCCATTTCATTAAGTCAAGGAGAAAGTCCCTGACATTTGTTAATCTTTTTTTTTTTAACAAAGACAGCCAGCCTCAGGCACGGAGCCTTCAGCTGGCAACTGCACGGAGCCAAATAGAAGCTAATGACCCCATTTGGTTTCATTATATTCATTTGTTTGGTTACCTACTAATTACGAATGAGTACTGATTATCCATTTCTGACAATGATATCAAGTTTCTTCATCAGCTTTTAATTTTTAAAAGTTTTTATATGAGCACCTTTAAATCCGTTTTATTTAAAACTGCCTTCAAAAAAAATTTTTTTTACTTTTTTATTGAAGGATAATTTCCATGGAGTAAACTATGTAGATCTTAAGTGTCCCTGTTCAAAGAATTTTCAAAAATATGCATGTCCATGTAGTCCACATGGTCATCAAAATATAGAGCATTTCTAACATCCCGGAAGAGTCTAGAACTTATTTGAAATCATAGAACTTGTTAGTTTTTGAAACTGGCTTCTTTCACTCAGCATAATGTTTTTTAGATTCTTCCATACTGTCGTGTATATTAATTAGTACCTCGTTTCTTTTTATTGTGAGTAGTATTCCTTTGTATACACAGTCTATTCTATTTATCCAATAGGTAAACATTCTATTGGATGTTTATTTATCCAGTACTCTGCTGGTACAAATCTTGAGTTGCTTTCAGTATGGGCCTATTATGAATAAGGTTGCTGTGAACATTCTTATATAAACCATGTAAAATATTGTTTGGTCACTGTCTTTTTAGAAAGTGAGTCCATTTAAACACCAATATTAAATGGTACAGGTCCTGTATAGCTGTGGCAAAAATTACACAGTGGTTTTTGAATTATTGAAGATAATCCACCTACTCACAGTGCAGACGGAGTCAGAAGCTCATTCAAGGCCACAGCACATCAGGAAGGTGAGAGTGGACCTAGCTTCTCCGCACTGCAGGCCTGACGCCCACACTAGGGCTCCTTACCCTCAGCCCTGTTGACATTTGCAGCCAGACAGCTCTCTGTCATGAGACCTGTCATATGCATCGTAGGATGTTTAGCAGCATCTCTGGTCCCCACCCACTAGACGCCAGTAGCACCTCCACCCCCAGCTGTGACAACCTTAAATGTCTCCAGACATTGCCAAATGTCCCCCGTTTGAGACCCACTGGCATAGACCATGCTACTGTAGCCTTGGGTTTCCAAATGCCGTGCTGGGAGCTCCAGAAGGCAGTTGAGGCCCCAAACGTGTTTCACTGCATTCCATGCTTCTCCTTCTGTGCAGGCTGTGGATGTGTGTATCTCCTGTGGCCCCCAAGCCCAACTCTATTAAATAAACCCTAACACAGAACCCACCACATGTGAGCACTTCCTCGGTGACCCCTGGGTGGAGGCACAGAAGGGTTACCTGCAGCGCAGAGAGACGGTGCTTGGGGGACAGCTTGCAGTTCCGCCCCATGCAGCCGTTCACTTTCTCCACGACCGCCTTCAGCCACAGCTGGAACTCGTCCACATCTGCCTTGTAATGCTCATGCTCCCGGGTCACCTGCTCCAGGAGGTCCACTCTGTCCTGTGGGAGGGGAGAAGGGTCACCGGCCATAAGGGTCCCCAGGCCAGACTGACCTGGTCTTCAAGGCCTGCCTGTGTGTATGTGTGTGTGTAAGGGATGTGGGATGCAACCCTCAACCCTTTGGCTGGAGATAAAGAGAGCTCAGATGCTCTTCTCTAACTTATTAGCAAAAAGTCAAAAGACTCTTGGCTTTGGAGACCAAAGCACGTCATCGCTGGGCCTGTCAACCACACCGCTGGCTTTCTTTCCTGCCATATCCTGGGAATGGCATTCAAGTCAGGGACCTGGCAACAACAACTACTGCTACTCGACCTACTGTTTGAGTGCTCACCAAGTTGCCAGAACTACTCCAAGAACTTCACAAACATTATCATCTCATTGATCATGATCTCTCCTGGCCAACCCATCAGGTGGCACCATCATTATCCTCGTCTCACAGACAAGGAAACTGAGGTACAGCAGAGGTGAAATGATTTGCCCAAGGTCACCTGTCTAGGAAAGCACCAAGATCCAAACCCAGGAGGTAAGTCTAGACTGACGGGGTTTCTGCCTCATAATAGCAGTGTCTACAGGGCATGCACATAGATGGCAGGCTGCCCCATTTCCTCATCAGTGCAGTGACGTCACCCAAAGGGGGTGGAGTCATCTCTATTTTCACACAATCCCACTAAAGTTCTAACCACACCGGGACAAGATGGTGGTCCTGAGGGTGGCTGACATTTGGGAAATAGTGTCCTTATTACAACACCTACTGTGTGCCTCAGGACTATTTTTCAAAACATACCCCTGATCACAGCACCTCTCTTTAAACCCCTCCATGGCTCCCCACTGCCCCCAGGCTCAGGTCCAGTGGCTGCAGCCTGGAGGTCAAGGGCAGGGTGCCAAGCTGGGTTTTGGAGCCCACTGCCTGCGACTTGAACCCTGGCTTGCCTCCAGCACAGAATTTACTCCTCTGTGCCTAAGTCTCCCCATCTGTATGGTGTGGATAATAACAGTATGTGTGCCTCATTAGCATGCAGTGGGATTAAATGAGTCAGAGCTCGCATAACCCAAGAGCAGCGCCAGGCATCTATACAGTAAACGCTTACCAACTGTGAGTCATTGTTTATTGTCCTCTGCTCTCCCCTGTGCTCTTGTCACACCCAAACGAGCAAGGGGTGTGGGGAGCAGGTGCCCTCCTGCTCTGAAGCCTTGCCCACTGCTCCGGGCGGAAAGAACAGCCTTTTCTCTGTGTTGTGGCTTCTGCTGGGGGAACTCAGAGCTCCCTACAGACAGGCTGTCCCTTGCTGATTTCATCTCCCAGGTCCAGCTGGGAGAGGGGGACTTCCATTTACTCAGCACTGACTGCGCCGACTTTGTGCCTAGAACTTGCCAAACATCTATTTCCTCTTCACCACTATCACAAAACTTTCCCATTATGCAAATATCCAAATCAATGTTGGGAGGTCACAAAACTCTCGCAGGGCCTTAGGGACAAGATTTGAATGACAAGGGTCAGGCTCCAAAACCACTGCTCTAGACCAGAGGTTGGGGAACAGTAGACGTTCCGGCTTTACCTGGTACATGGTTTGTGTGGCAGGTACTCGGCCTCCCCTGTGCCATGTATGTTGCAGCAGCTCAGACAAGCAGCCACAGGAAAAAACACACCGAGGGGCAGCTATATGCCAATAAAACTGAGAGGTGGACCCTGAAATTCGAATTTCATATCATTTTCACACGTCATGAAATACTCTGCTTTTTCTTTCCCCCCAATCACTTAAAAACTGTAAAAACCATATTTTAGCTCACAGGCCTGATGCAAAATCAGGAGGTGGCCTGGACCGAGCCCATGGGACACAGTTTGCCGACCTCAGCTCTCAGCCAGGGAGCCAGACCATGTCCAGGAGGGTCCTGACTCTCTCTGACGCTAAGTCAAAAGCTCTCACTGGAAAGTGTGGACAGACACGCAGATTCAAAAACTCTGCTCTCTGTATGTGTCTGCCCCCTCCCTTTGAGAAGCTCCTCACCAAATCTAGAAATACTAATTCATTTAAACCTTTGCAACAACCATTGCAAGGAGGAGAAAATATCCCCATTTTAGAGTGGGGAAGCCAAGGCACAGGACCAAGTCCTTCAGTGAAGAGCTGAGAACCCTCTCGCTAACGGGAGTGAGGCTCAGAGCTTCAGCAGCAGCACATGGGGGAGGGGAAAACACCGTGCTGCTTGAATTCCGAAAGTGGACCAAGGGCCAGTGACAGGCTCCTTTTTCTTGTCCTTGCTGCGAGATCACCTGTATCCTTCCAGGGCTTCTTCCATCCACAGGAAAGCCTCGTTTATGAAACAAAGTGGGTCAGAAATAACGAGGAGAGAATAAAATCCTGGCCCCGTTGACGCTGATGGTTATAAATGTTGTAATGAAGTGAATTTGCCAAAGAAAGTGCCGGCCGGCGGCTGTGTGCGTGTGAGCGATGAGGTGCTGGCACGCGGGGCAGCCCAGAGTAAATAAAAGCCTCCGTGATGGGGAGCAGGCCCCGGAGAGGACCGCGGCCGAGCAGGGCAGCCGGCCAGGCGCGCTGTGCCAGGCATAACGATCCCAGAGCACAATTCAGCCGCTGCCTGGCCGGCCACGGAGGAGGATGACAGGGGTGACAAATGGGACAGTGTTCAACCTTCTCTGGTTAGACCAAACAATTAAACCATCTGTAGCCGGCAGAGTTGTCAGGAATGTCAAAACCCAACCAATTACAAAGGCCGCGTGGATATATGCCTCTGCAACGGCTGCACGGAGGGCTTTGATTCATGGCTCAGATGCCAGACAAACGCGCCTTCCTTAAGGGCAGGAAGCAGAGAGCAAGAGGACACTACCATTTGCCCGGCCCTTTAGAAAATGGAATGGGTGGGTTCAAAACACTCAGACAAAATAAACAAGCAAGACCCTCCTGGCAACCAGCCTGCTGTCTCTTCTTAACCTGCAAATGCTCTGGGTTCACTCTGTGCTATTTGTTCACCCCCGCACCCCTGCTGGGCTAGCTCTCCTAGTCAAGCACCTCCCTCCAGGGGGTGGTCAGAGGCCACAGGCCACGGGTGCCCCCCCCCCCCGCAGTGCTTCTGTGGTTCTGTCCCCAACCACACCAGTGGCGTTGCCATTAGCATACTGGAAGTCAAAACTGGATTTTCAGCGGTGAAAATGCCCTCTTAAGTAGCATGAGGCATGTTGAAATGGGCGCTTACTGGTGAAAGACGAAGTACTGATACATACAGTATCAGCAACAGACTGAGTTGTGCCCTCCCCAAATTCATATGTGGAGGCCTTAACCCCCAATGTGATGGTATTTGGAGATGGGGCCTTTGGGAGGTACCTGCGATTAGATGAGGTCCTGAGGGTGGGGTCCCCATGGTAGGACTGGTGCCCTTACACGAGGACACACCAGACAGCTCTCAGTCCCTCTCTCTCTGCCATGAGGACACAGGGAGAAGGCAGCAGGGAGAGGCCCCTCACCAGACAATGAATCTGCAGGCACCTTGATGGTGGACTCGCAGCCTCCAGAAGTGTGAGCAATCAGTTCCTGTTGTTGAAGGTCCCCGGTCTGTGGGGTTCTGTTACGGCAGCCCGAGCAGACTAGGACAACATCCCGGGGACCCGCCCACCCTGAGAATAGGCCTGGACCTCCAGGGACCCTTCCCCGGCCCTGGTCCTGTCGCTGGGTAGGACTTGGGCTGCCTGCCTGGAGATGGCTTTCTTAGGTGCCTTGACAGAGACTTTTAGGCCAGGTGAGGCCTTTATCACATGTACAAAGCAGGTGACCAGGAAGCATCTGGGCCACCAAGCATCTTTGGGGGCTACTGGACATCCAGTGTCCCCACCCTGCTCAGGATGGAGCCAGAGTGTTTTGCTTCTGTCCAGGGCAGGAGGCTGGGGTGTGCCCAGGGGGTTGACTCCATTTTACTGATGAGGACCTTGGGGTTGGGACTTAGCTGTCTTGCCGAGGGTAATGGAGAAGCTTGCGCCTCTCGGTAGCTCGTCAGTCTCCTGTGAGGGTCACAGCACCCTCTGGAATCTGATGGAAGCTATGAGTCCTCTCCCAGCAGAATGCCCACTTACACACCAGTCTGAATCTAACCTTCCCACCTGCCACTTCTTAGTCTCCTACAGTCATCGCTGTCATCGCTCGGGGAGACAAGAAACAACTCCACGGTTCACCACCCCCCTCAATCTTCCCCCCAACCCCCCATCCAGGAGCTAACAGGCTTCCAGGGAGTAAGAACAAAGCTCACAAATCTCCAGCAGCAGGAAGAAGAGACAATCAAGTGTCTGTGAGCATCAGCCAACCTGCAAAAGCCAAACTGAACTCACTCTGCATAGGATCCAGTCACCCTGCAGACACCAGCGTCCCATTTCCACGTTGGGGGTCAGACTTGACCAGCTTATCTGGCAACTCCGAGGGCTGCCAGCAAGGGCAGCAGCTGCCTCCCCACCGTCCTCACTCAGCCAAGGTCCCCACCCTCTGGCCCTCAGGACCCTGCCAGCGGGGCTCTGCTTCCTGAAAACCTTCAAAACCCTCGGAAACAAACGTGCTCCCACCTCAAGGGGCTCCAAACCTCCCACTTCCTGTGCTCCCCGGCCCCTTCTCAGACTGACCCACAGAAGCCCCTTGCTCTCCCCAGATGGGCACAGGTGCAGTGACCCCCGAGGACCTGAGGCACAGGTCAAGGTGGCGTCGCCTAGAGCTTCTGGCTCTCTCTACTTGGCCAGTCATGTCTGACACTTAGATTTTTTTTTAAGTCTAAAAAAATGGGCCCAGTCACACCTTCTCTATCTACCACCTAAGAAGACATGAAGAGAGAGAAAAGATAGCAGTTGCCAATAAAAGTTGTAATGTCTGATTTTAGGGCTCCAGCGAAGGGAGAGTCCCCTGGGTGATCCCGGAACTCTCTGGGGTGACCATTTCTGTATCTGGGCCAGAATTGGTGCTCACCCGGTACCCCTGGCATGGCCCCATACACATGTACACATGCGCGCGCACACACCCAACCACCTTGTTTCCTCTCCTCCACACACTGCACGAGAAAAATCTCTGCTGACTGACGCCTGTGTCCTGTAAAGTCACAACAGGGAGGCCATGGGGCAGGCACCTTCCCTACGTGGGCCTGAGGAACACACCTGCAGAGAGAATCGCTATTAAGCTTGCCCTTGCCACTCAGGGCTTGGCAAGGGCCAACTGGCTACACCTTCCAGAGCCAAACTCCATACCCACCTTCCCTGTCCCCATCCATCCTGGCCCCATGCAGCTGCCCCAGGACCGCCTGTCACTCCCCCTGCCTTTGATTGCCTTCAGGCTGCAAGGGTGGGTTCTCATTCATTCAATCAACAGCTCTGAGCACCTGCTGTGTATTAAACACCATTGTTGTTGCCTTTATTCTCACTGCTACTGAGAATAGAGGTGTCCTTTATGTTGGGAAAATGCTTGCCAGGTTTCAAAGAGCTGCAGGTGAGCTCATTTAGTCCTTACACTCTGGTTACAGGTAAGGCGAGCTACCCCGAGGCCACACAGCTGGGAAGCTGCTGCTTGAACCCAGGTCCCTTCCCAGGTGCCAGGGTCCTGGGCCTGCTAATGGGTTCCCAGACCTCTGTTTATTATAGAACTATTTCCCTTAATCTGTAAACATGAAGGATCCCGGAGACTTCCGGTGCCAGCATAAGGAAGACTAGGTAACCTGACTACCCTCCCATCGCAGACAGCCAGAAATGCTGGATAAAATATCACAGGCATTGGGTAAATGCACACCCACGCACACAGCGAGGTGAGACCTCATACGGACAGAAGCAAAGATGTTACAGAAACCAGATTGCTAAACTCACATGTGTGCATGACATTTTCTTGGGTTTACTGCTCAGATGGAGGAGGAGGTAAGACTGTGGACCCAGAGTGGGCAGAGACAATGCAAAAAGGCGGGACCCTCAAGGGGCTGCCCCTCAGTCAAAGGGTGAACTAGAAAAAAAAAACCTCCCCATCAGCACAATACAAGAAGGAAGTTTGTATTTCAGCCTGGGCTCTGGGTAAAAACCAAGTGAAAAAAAAACAGGCACCTTTCAGAGTATAGAGCCAGGGGCCTCTTGTATAACTTTGGCTTGGGGTTCAAGTTTAGAGTACCCACTTGATTCAGGAACCCCCACGCCAATACAATGACATAAAAATAGGAACCATGAAGGTAAATTCCCAGGGGAGCCTGGCTAAAGCAAACACAAGCTACTCTGAGGGCTAGGCCCAGCCATGGGGTTCTGCAGACAAAGCCCTCCTTAGGGTGAGCTCACATACATAATATTTAAATTATAAATTTAAATATTTTCAATAATATTTAAAATACATTTAAAAATTCTTCGAGAGCCGTAAAACAAATGAAATCACCATTATGTGAATAATAGCCTTTAAAATGTTATAAATGAAACTATGATAGTTTTATTTTCATTTTCACTTTTACTTCAGAGCCACATGCACGCACCCAGAGAGCCGCCGGTGGCTCGCGAGCCGCAGTTTGCCGACCCCTGGTCTAGATGAACGGGAAGTGGGTGAGGCTGGTGGGGGGGTAGATGGGCCAGTGGAGAGAAGGGTGGACAGATGGATGGGTGGCGGTGGGTGGGTGGAGGGCAGATGGATGGAGAGGTGGTTCATTAGCACACGGGTGGCTGGTTGAGGAGATAGGGGTGGAGAGATGGAGGGACGGGTGACGACGGAGCCCACCACGCCTCACTCACCTGGGCTTTGGCCTTCACGGCATCGTACTCGGCCCTCATCTTCTTCTGGGCGTCTTCGTCCACGCTGGGGTCCCCAATCCTGTTGAACAGGGAGGCCGCCTCCTCCAGCAGCCGGTCCAGGAGCACGGCCTGGCTGTCCGCATTGTGCAGCAGCACCTGGGCATGGCTCAGCTGCCACTGCTTCTCCTTCAGGCCCAGCTGCAGCTCCACGGGGGGCTCCAGCACCACCATCATCCTCTGGAACCAGCGGTAGAACTCGTCTCGGGCCAGAAGGTACTCACTCCAGTGCAGCCACACCCACTCGATGCGGCTGTGGGCACAGAGACCACCGGGCGTGAACGGCCCGCCCACCCGGCCAGGGGGCCGTGGGAGGGGGCTGCAAAGACACCCTCTCGGGACCTCCGAGTCCCCTGGGCAGCTTGCTGACACTCCAGATTCAGGGCCCTACCTCAGTCCTACTGGAGAAGCACTTCCGTTTGATCAATAAGCCCCATGGGGGAGGCTAAGGACCAGGGGCTCAGGTTCCAGGCCTGCTCTGAGAGCCACCAGCCTTGTGGATGCAGCTTATGGAGCCTTAGCCCCCAGCACCTGAAATTCGAGCCCTCAGCTCCCCTTGTCCGTGCACAGGCGCCCAGTCATTTCTCTCTGGCGTCAGGACTCACCACACTGTCCCCTCCGGCTCTTAGCACCTGCGTGCCCACTGACAGTCACGAGAAGACACCACTGAGAGTGTGTCTAGTAATTGGCAGAATACAATAGTATCTGTGTGCTTGTTGCCACTCAGTGGGGACAGAAGGCTGAGGGCCTGTGTGTGTGGGTCTCAGGGGTGCCATAAACTCGCTGCATAACCCTGCCTCCTCACTCGCCTCAGTTTCCCATCTGTAACATGATGATGGCCCTATGTGTCCAGCCAACATCAAGCCTCCTTGGAATTCCAAGTAGAAGGGTTTGAAAAGCAGAAATCACTGTGCAAAGTCCCCCCCTCTGTCCACTCAACACTCTGGTTTTATCAAGACAGAGAGGATGCTGGCAGCTCCTGTTTACGGAGGGTCTACCGTGTGCCGAGCACTGTGCTTTGCTCTGGACATTTGCTATCCCCTCCTTTTGTCCTCCTGACAACCTTCAAGGAACACTTGACGCTACCCATTGTCTAGATGATGAGCCTGAGGCTCAGAGAGGTCAAGCAACTTTCCTAAGGCCTCACAGCAAGTAGCCAATAGAGCAAGAGGCAATCCCAGATCTGTCTGACACCCCTCCTGCTCTTACCTGGCTCCCCGATACAGGTAGAGAATCCGGCCTAAAGTGCTAACGAGGTTACAGGCCTTCTTACTCCAGGGCCATTCTCAAATTCTGCTGGGGGCGGGTGCACCAATGGCACGTCTACCAAGAATTAATTGTTGGCAAAACAAGATGGGCTCCCACTGTCTAGTATCATCATTAAGCCTGATTATAATTAGAAAGAGGCAGGCAGGGCTGGCCAAAACCCCAAGAGGACATCCTGCTCCCAGGAATCCCAGCACTGGAGAAGAGTCCATTGGGCAGAGGCTGTAGGCCAGTGTGGCGGTGGGCAAGGGGGGTCAGGGGCCAACCGCAGACGAAGCCCTGCCAAGGTCCCCTACCTGTGACAGTGAGTCATGTAGGTGACTGTCTCCTCCCATAGGGCCTTGATGTCCCTCAGCCGGGCCAGGATCTCGGGTTTCTGGTCCTCATGGCAGCATGCCAGGAGCACTTCGGCCGCCCGGAGAACCAGGTCCACCTTCACACGCCCCTCCGGCTCCAGCTGGCATATTTTCTGTCGTGGACACAAAAGCCAGTTTCCAGGGCTTAGACAGAATGCAAACAGGCAGAGCCACAGACAGTGGCATGACGAAAAGAGCCAGGATTTTGAGCCCAGAGATGCTAGGGTTCACATAGTGGCCCCTGCACCCTTTTCCTGTGACCATGGCAGCCTGTAATGGCTCTGAGGATGGGAGCAAGGAGCTATGGATTAGCACAGAAGGACTGGAGCTGCCTGATGACACGAGTTCCCTCCCTTCCCCACTTAGCCTGTTTCTGGCTGTGTGAACTCAGACAAGTTTCGTTATATCCCTGGACTTGGTTTTATCATCCGTAAAATGGGGGTGTTAATAGTATTTAGCTCTCAGATTATTTTTTCAGAATTAAAAGAGAAAACACACATATGCGCCAGCTGAGTGGTGCGTTGGTTAAGAGTTGGCTTGGGACGCCAGCTCTGAGCAGCAGGGCCCTGGTTCGGATCCCACATATGAGGGCCAGTGACGCTGCGCCCTCTACAG